TGGAGAGTAGTCTGTGAGGAGACATGAGCAGGGATCACTGAGGCTGGAGTGGCATTCAGATTATGAGGGCTCAGGAAATCTCATTAGGGGATTTGGTCTCAAAGTAGGGTGCCACTCAGAATATATAACAACTCTGAGCACCTGTACCATCAATCCAAACAGAAGCTGGCGGGGGCAGCCCACTTAGAGGAGACCAGCTGGGTGCTGAAGCAGTCCCCAGTGTACAACGCTAGTGAGGAGCTGTCCCCCGTCACTCCTGTAGCATTCAGAAAACAATCAATCATTGCTAAACTGTGGCACAGGGATCAGAAGTAAGTAAGAGTGGGGGTAGAAGACCAGTTACTGGGGGAGTAAAGAAAAATTTTCTCCCTGGTTTGTAAAAGAAACAGACGTAAATACTGTGGATGTGTCTGTCCTTTCATTTGTTGTGTTTTTATGTGATGTGGGGATGTGTATCCGGATTCTGCGACAGGTGCAGTGACAACTAGTGAATAGCACAGATGCATTTTTTCCTTTATGGAGGAGATAGACATTGATCAAGTAACGACTATATGATTACAAAGTGTGTGCTTACAAGCTGTAGTAAGTAGTATGGGGAAAAGAAGTGTGGAAAATTATAAAGCATTTATAAGAAATCTCAGATCTAAGGACATCAGAAAAATCTCACCTGAGGAATTCCTTGGGCTACTTGACACCTGAGTTGAAGTCTGCAGAACTGGCACCTCAGGAAGGAGGGAACTAGAAGACCACACTAACTTACAGGTATGTGCAAAGGCCCTGGGGCAGAGAATGGAGGGGTTCACAGGGACTGAAGGAAGCCTGAAGCATGGGAAGCTGAAGGTCAAGGACTCTTGTGTTAGATGACATTAGAAAGGGGGTACTGGAGACTAGAGGCTGTGATAAACCTGTTGGTCTCACAAATATTGCCATGTTCTCACTTATATGTGGGAACTAAAAAAGCAGGTCTTATGGAGGTGAAGAGAAGGATGATGGTTATCAGAGGCTGGAAAGGGGAGCGGGAAATGAAGGAAAGCTGGCTGAGGGGTACAACACCACAGTGAGATGAAAGGAATAAGTTCTAGCATTTGATATCACAATCAGAAAATAACAGCCTACAGTTTTTCTCCTCTAGCTATTTTGACATATACAATAAATTGTTATGTTTCCAACACAAAGAAAAAGTAAATGTTTGGGGTTGTGGACATTCCAGTTACCCTGATTTGATCATTATACATTGTATACAGTTATCAAAATACCACACGTACCCCCAAGGTATATATACAACTGTGATGTATGAATAAAAATAATTTAAAAAAAGACTTAAGTTTTATTTTAAAAGGAATCACTGAAAGACCTTGTCAGTCATGGAGACTGACAACATCAGATCTGTGTTTTTTAAACTATCACATTTGAGGGCAATTTAGAGAACGGGTTAAGAAGAGGAGGTGGAAAGCAGGGTGAGCGGAGAGGGAGTTATTTATTTCATCAGGGGGAGGGGGAGCATGGAAGGGACCTGAATGACTTGCTGGAGGAAGTGGAGATTCAAGATTGCTGGGGGGAAACAAAACCAAACACCTCATGGTTACAAACATGACTGACACTGCAGGCTCAGAAAGGGGGGAGCAGGTGTGCAGGGTAAAAATTACCCACTCGGTACATTAACTACTCAGGGGTGGGTACATGAAAAGCCTAGACTTTCTACTATGCAATTCAGCTACGTAACACAAAAACACTGGTACCCCCAAATCTATTATTTGGGGGAGTTTGGCGTTGCTGTGAAAAAGCTTCTTTGAAGAACTACTAAACAAAACATTTGGCATCAGTACCTAAAGGAGATATATTTTGTGATATGTTACTTTTTTAAAGATCTCAAGACAATTTTAGGCATTGCTCTAAAGAAAGATGGTGACTTTACCTCCTTCATGTTTACATGGATGGAGCTGGAATATATTCTTCTTAACAAAGTGTCTCAAGAATGGAAGAGGGGCAGCGCCTATGGCTCAGTGAGTGGAGCACTGGCCCCATATACTGAGGGTGGTGGGTTCAAACCCGGCCCCAGCCAAACTGCAATGAAAAAAAAAATAGCTAGGCATTGTGGCGGGTACCTGTAGTCCCAGCTACTTGGGAGGCTGAGGCAAGAGAATCACCTAAGCCCAGGAGTTGGAGGTTGCTGTGAGCTGTGTGACGCTGCCACAGAACTCTACCAAGCGTGATAAAGTTAGACTCTGTCTCTTAAAAAAAAAAAAAAAACCAAAAAACAAAAAAAAAGAATGGAAGAAAAAGTATCTAATGTACTCAGCCCTACTATGAAACTAATTTATAGCTTTCATAGGAAAGCTATAACCCAATTATAGCCCAAGAAGATGGGGAAAGGGAAGAGGGGGAGGAGAGGTGGAAGGAGGGTGATTGGTGGGATCACACCTATGGTGCATCCTATAAGGGTACATGTGAATCTTTCTAAATGTAGAATATAAATGTCTTAACACAATAACTAAGAAAATGGCATGAAGGCTACGTTAACCAGTTGATGAAAATATTTCAAACTGTATACAAAAACAGCACACTGTAGCCCATAACTGTATTAATGTACACAGCTATAATTTAATAAAAAAATTAAAAAATAGGGTCATTTAAAAACATCCCCTCTATACTAACTCAACAAGAGGTCATGGATGAATTTGTGGAAGAAATTAACAATTAAATTAGCAGCTGATTTTCATTAAGAAAACAGATTAAGTATTTAAAAAAAATTAAGGAACAAACAAGGGGGGCAGCGCCTGTGGCCCAGTGAGTAGGGCATTGGCCCCATATACTGAAAGCAGAGGGCTTAAACCCAGCCCTGGGCAAACTGCAACAAAAAATAGCTGGGCATTGCGGTGGGCATCTGTGGTCCCAGCTACTCGGGAGGCTGAGGCAAAAGAATCGCCTAAGCCCAAGAGCTGGAGGTTGCTGTGAGCTGTGATGCCATGGCACTCTACCGAGGGCGACAAAGTGAGACTCTGTCTCTAAAACAAACAAACGAACAAGAACATCCCAACACTACAATACTTATATTCAACTCTACCTATTTACAATACGAGCACTTTGAAAATAAACTTTCATCTAACTCTTCTAGATAACATTTTGTTCTGTTTAATAATTCTTCAAAATCATTTTTTGGTCTACTCCATATTATTCCATTTTTAAAAGAAATATAACCCTTCAGACTTTATACAACTGGTATAACTTGACCTTTTAAAGAACAACCACATTGCTATCTGATTCAAATCTAGTACTATAATAAACAATACATCATATTCCTTAATTGGATTATTAAAAATACACACTGTTAAAGATTCAAAAAAAGTATATTTTAACTCCCAAATCACCCATATTTATTTTCTCTAACTTAAAATAAACATATTTTTTCAAGAGACTCAGCAGGCCAAATTCCTTTCAAGGCATTTGGCATGAATATAAAAGCAACATTTTTAAATATTAATATCATTTTAAAATGAATATTCTCTTTTGGAAAATAATCTGACTGGAATTAAGTATTTCTATTTGTTTTCAAAAAGTGTTTAGTTCTAACACTTACCAGAGGATTTTAAAAAATCTTTTACTTTAAGGTTATAAGAAATATACCCAATAAAATGTTAAATTAGTATTGTTCATAAAAATATACAACATAAAATTGTAACTTTGTAGTTAACAAACTTTTGATTGTTGTCCAATAAAGATTTCGAGGTGGGAATGCACAAAGGATGAGTTTTGGCCACCCCTCCATCCCTCACACTACAATTACTGTCAGTTCAATAATCAGAGTTTGGTCAGGCCCCGACAAAGGAGTGACAGAAGGCCTCCCAGGCATCACCTTTTAATTTCTTTTTTAAATTTTTAGAGTTAAGGCAGAAGCAAGCTAAGTGAATAGAAAATTCTGAAATTTATATTGTTTCCTCTTGCAAGTTGTAGTATCTGAAATGGCTTATTTATCAAGTGTATAAACAAGGAAATACAAGTTTTAGAGAAAGGCAACTAATTAGCATTGTATAATAAGACCATGTCTCCAAATTCCGAGGGCTACAGCACACCTTTTAGAAGTGTGCAACTAGATGGGGAAATGCTATTCGAGGAATTAAGGCAGTATCTTCCATTTTTATTTGTTACAATAAGAGTGTTTGATTAGTGGGAACCACGTAGGTCAGCTAAGTTTGTATAAAAACTGTTCATCTGCTGTCATATCATATGGTACAGATCAACTCTAACATCACATTTTTCAAATTTCATTTTTCATTCTGAAGGTCACAGGACAATTGGGAATGTAACCAGATTCCTCTGCTAATCCAACTCTCTAAGTAGCTCGGAAAAGCCCGGGGCAGACACAGTTATCTCAGGGTGAAGTCTGCGTTGCCTCAGCCACGGCCCTGGGCTGCTCTGATAACACTGCCATGGTCATCACAGCAGCCTGTCCTAACAAAGCTGCCTCCCCGTCCATAGAGGGCCTACAAAGTGGGGATGCTGAGAATCTCTGATCCACACCAAACTTTTAAGAGCAGTTGTTTAGGTTATCCATTAGCTTAATTAAGATCTAATGTGATGAACCTCACAGGTTATTCAAAATACTCAAAACTTAGTGTCCCTGAATTTCCCGTGTTTGCTAGAGGAACACTATTTTGTTCAGGGTGATGGCTTATTTCAATACTACACAGCTGTGCCACAGTAATGAACACACAATTTGAGAGTACGTCCATCATCAGAAAACTCAACCATTTAATTTGTGTGTGTGCATACATGTATCCGTGTGTGGTGCATTTATTATTTTCGCCAGTAGGCTTTAGTTCCCCTCTATGAACAGAGGTTGTAAAGCATTGGTTATTGTCTCTGCCATACTGTGTCACCACAGCTGCCAAATGTTTACACACTTCATTCCCTAATACTGGGGGCTAAGTCATTCTGACCGGCGCCGCCCGCCCGACAGTGGAGGGCTGTGCTGGGCTGGGGGCGGAGCCGGGAGCACCTACCGTCTTGCTGAGGTAGCCGGTGCTGGTGTTCATGCACTGCAGCCCCTCGCTGTTGCAGCAGCCCCCACACCTGTACACGGACACACACGGAGGTTTGAAGAAGGTGTTGGTAGCTGCTCCGAACTCCTTCCCCACATCCGTGCACACCTCCCGGGGAGTGCACTGAGTCTTCCTCCACTCGCTGTCAATACCTGCCAAGTCACAGGGAAGCCACAAGTTATACAGAGCCCACGAGGGAATAGCGGCCAGAGCAGGGCAGGCCATGCGCGCTGATCTCGGACATTAAGGTGAAAGCGCAACACGTGACCAAATAAAGGGTGGCCGGTAGGTGGGAATGAGATATATTTCACAAAATGGCTAAGAATATTTTCTACAAAATTTCATTTCAACAGCCTTGTAACAAGTATGAATACAATTAGGATTGCGCTTTCTTAAAACTATACCAATAGGGCATAGCACTTAAGAAAAGGGGATTTAACATATAGATGTTTACAAGACACGCAGAGCCAGGAGTCTGGCGCATCAGCTATGTATGTTGGTTTTACTTCTCTTTTTAAACAGAGGGGTATATGAGACAGTGGGTACGGTTCCAGATGCAAGCCCAGCATCATTTCTGGTAGGCTATCCAGCAAGGCTGGTAACGTCATGAGAGTAGCCGTGTGAAATCCAAGGCTACTTTCTACCACCTGGGACTTATGTCCTGAACTAGCTTTCTCCAGGAAAGTCAAATTTTCCTGTCCCTTTCAGCCCTCTTGGAATTGTTTCCAGTGAGTTGGTGGCTTACATACAACATTGTTGATTCTTTAAATATTGCATTAAAAATGATTACACTTACTTCCTAAGTGTTCTAGTTTATTTCCCCCATATCCCCTGTAAAATAAAATTTTTGGAGATGAAAGACAAAGTATGGGTTATTCAACAATTAAGCCATTTTTTTCATTTGCAATATCAAACCGATACAGTGATTGTTAGCTGCCAACCAAAGGGAGTTACTTTTTAAAAGTGTCTCATCAATTTGTACTGTGACATGTTATGCAATATTATTTTTTGTAGAGATTTACACTAGATGTCAGCTTTATTAAAGTCCAGCTCTGAACAATTACCTGTGAAGCTACAAGGCAACAAATGGTATTTTAAAAAGAGATTTGAGGGCGGCACCTGTGGCTCAGTGGGTGGGGAACCGGCCCCACGTACCGAAGGTGGTGGGTTCAGGCCCAGCCCCTGCCAAACTGCAGCAAAGGAATGGCTGGGCACTGTGGCAGGTGCCTGTGGTCCTGGATGCTCTGGAGGCTGAGGCGGAAGAATCGCCTTGGCCCAAGGAGTTGGAGGTTGCTGTGAGCTGTGATGCTATGGCACTCTCCCGAAGGTTAATAGGTGAAACGGTCTCAAAAAAAAAAAAAAAATTTTTAAAAAAGAAGTGATTTGAGTGTGTTGAGAGAAACAGGCATTTCTAAGCCCAAATCAGGAAGAATATGTACAGTTATTCTGTAGGATACAGAATATTTAAATAATTAAGCTGATATAAAGTGCAAAACGTATCTATATGTTCTTCAAACTTCACAATGAAATATCATTTTAATTAAAAAACAAGTGTGCTGATATGCATGGCTTTATTACCTATCTTTGTATCTCCAGGAATCAACTTAAAAATAAAATCATAAAAAGTATTCTGAGGTAATTTTTTAATCTCTGTAAGTACGTTCAGTGGTACAGATGCTGACCCTGAAGAACCAGGCTGGTGCCTGTTGCTGGCCTGGCACGTGAGGCTCCCAGACCTTTTCTTTCTCACACTTACTTTTCAGGATCTCGGCGTTATAATGTGCTGCAGCAAACTTGACTGTGTCTTCCGTCCCTGAGCTGGGGCTGGCCTGTTCTTTGTTGTGCTGCCAGCCTCCTTTCCTCAACTGACACTTGTACATTTTCCAGTATTCCGGGTAGAGCACAGTCATGAGCTCGTCTACACTGGACACGGACCGCAGCTGCTCCTCCAGATCTTTGCTCGCATAAGCCTGTCAAAGAAAAAGACAGGCTCAATTACTCACCTGGCGAAGGGTTTTAGAAACGAATGCATCAGAACTGTAAGTTTCATGTGATACTAGCTATATTCACTAGTAAAATAACTTTGCATAATAAAATTATATTTTAATTTATATGAAAACAAATTTTTAAGACAATTTGTGATATACTTTAACATTATATTTTAAAGTAGCTCACTTGTAGTTCTTTTACATAGATGGTGAATATGCAAATTTACTCATTTTGTATTACCCTCCTACATAAATAAAATTGCATTGACATCTACTCTTTTTTTTTTCACTTGTACCCTTGTAAAATAAACCTCAGAAATAATCCCTCCAATCCCCCTCCCTCCACCCATTCCTCCCTCCCCTCTCCCTCCCCTCTTCCTGTATTTTTAGGCTATTATTAGGTTATAGCTTACATATAAAAGGTATAAATTAGTTTCATAATAGGGGTGTGTACATTGGATACTTTTTCTTCCATTCTTGTGATACTTTGCTCAGAAGAACATTTTCCTTGAAATCTACTCTTAAATGCTCTGTTTCATTTTTTAGTTATCAGTATCAATGAAATATAGTTGAGCAGGATGCTTGAAATTAGGAATCTTTCATGAAAGCTATTGTTGGAATAAATAATCACATGAAGAATGGGGTTTCAACAACAATGTCACCATAATGTTTATATTTTAGCAGAATCTCCCACTGTTTCAAAAGAACTGGACCATCAAGATTTCTGCTTTCACAGAAATTATATCATTCAGAGTACACTAAAGCAGCTCACCAACGGCTGACTGTCCACACTTTAAAACCACTCAGGTAAGTAAGTAGAACATTCCGAGTTCTATGTAGGTAGTTACAATATGTAAGAAAAAATGTGTTTTTCTAAATTGTACTCTTGGGGGAAGTCTGCAAAGATCCAGACGACGCTGTGTCTCCCAAACCGCTTAGCCAGGTGACGAGACCAGTAAACCTGTGGGTAGGAAGAGACATCCGGGCGACTCCGAGACTCACTTTCCTCTATCGTTTGCTGGCTTAGCAGGAAGCTGGCTCAGGGAAACAGAAATACAGGCTGACCCCAACCGCTGGGCTGTAGAGGTGCCCGTCTCTGACAAGGCCACTGCTCTGATGGGGAAGGACCACTGTACACATCACGTGGGAGATCCCTGGCCACTGGCCCTATGAATACGTACGGTACTCCCACCCGAGCTGCAGCTATGGTGGCTGCAAACATCCATGCCTCGCCTCAGCTGTGGGATGGGAGCTGAGGGGGTTGTGTTCATGCTGCTCTGTGGTCACTTACAAATTCTTTTCCAAATAATAAAATCTGTATCAGAATATAACTGCCCTGTGCAGCATTAGCCTTGCCTGCAAGCGGCCCCCTGCATGCAGGCAGAACCGATGGAGGTACTGGACGGTGCACATGTCTTGTTCACCCTGCATGCAGGCAGAACCGACGGAGGTATCGGATGGTGCACATGTCTTGCTCACCCTGCATGCAGGCAGAACCCACGGAGGTATCGGACGGTGCACATCTCTTGTTCACCCTGCACGCAGGCAGAACCC